GATCAGCTGCCTCCTGCACATCTCCCACTGGGGATGTGCCCGCAACCCAGGCACATGCCCTTGACCGGAATCGAACCTGGGACCTCTCAGTCCACAGGCCGACACTCTATCCACTGAGCCAAACCGGTTTCGGCACTTGTTCTCATTTTAGTTTATATCCATGAGTTTTGACAAAGATAGAGCCACCCAGAAATTTAGGTGGAAGAAATTCAGTCCATCACCCAAAACTCTTCTGTTGCCCCTTTGTAGTCATAACCTCCCCAGTCTCCAGCCCCTGGCTTCCACTGATCTGTTTTCCATCCCTATAGTTTGACTTTGCAAGAATGTCATATAAGTAGATTTACACTATGTAGCTTTTAAATATGTGTTCATACAGCCTTTTGACTCTAGCTTCTTTAACTGAGCATAATCCACGTGAGGGTCATCCACAGCCTTGCGAATATAGTGGTAGCTCGTTATGGATTGCTGCTGAGCGCTACTCCATTGTATGGATGATTTCAGTTTTTTATCCCGCCATCAGTTGAAGAACATTTGGGTTGTTTCCAGTTTGGGGCAAACATTTTTTAACCAATAGATGTGAGTTTACTTCTTGGGCCTGACAGACCTTGGCCCATGTGCCTCTGTGTGTCTGCAGGTGTCAGTCCTTTCTGCTGAGGATGCTTTTGACTTTTGGAAAGCCCTGGGATCGCTCTGAATCAGTCCTGGTAGGGGAGGTGTTGGACTCAGCAAGGCCCTGGTGGTTTCATCTGTTGAGAGGGTCCCGGGAGCCCTTGTCCTTACTGACAGAGAGGCCCCTCCACAGCCAGAGGTTGGGGGCTGGGGAGGGGAGAAAAAAACATTGATCAGTTGCCTCCCATATATGCCTTGCCTGGAGATCAAACCTGCAACCTAGGTATGTGTCCTTACTGGGAATCGAACCCGAAACCTTTTGGATATGGGACGATATTCCAAACAACTGAGCCACCGGGGCAGGGCAGCTCCAGCTTTTGAGGCAGCACTCGAGACCCAGGGTGGGATCCAGTAAATGGGCGGAGCAGAGGGCTGGTCTGTGTCCCGAGAGGAGTCCTTATCAGGATATTGTGGGGCCTGAACTAGAAGGTGGGAGAGGCTAAGTCCTGGCACGGGAGCAGGGTTCCCCAGCGGCCAATCGGCTGCGTGCGAGGCACGATTCCTACCGAGCAGGATGGGAGACGGAAGCCCCGACTGCAGGGCAGGCCCAAGGGTGAGCACTTGGCAATGCTGCCCGAGCAGAGGGTGTCTTGTGGTGAGAGCTTCTGTTTGTTCTGTTAACCGTGAGTTTATTGAGTGCCCACTGTGTGCTGAGCGCTGTGCTCAGTGCTGGCAAATGGCAGGGAAAAGATCGCCACAGCCTCGGTCCCAGGGCAGGCG